GGTAGAGAAGGGTCTAGGCCCGAAACGTCAGCCTCTCTGCTCCTATGATGCTGCTTGGCCTGCTGTGTTCACCCAGCCCTGCACCTTGTTGTCTCGGATTCTCCAGCATCTGCAGTTCCTACTATCTCTCTCAAAGAAGAGGGATATGTTTTTGAAATATCAGGGAATTGATAGCTATGCTGAGCTGGCACAATAAAGGAGTTGAGGACTGGGACAGAGACAGGCTGAATAGCCTACTCCTATGTCTTTTGTGATTCTTGAGGGTTAATGGCAGGCTGGTTCTGTTGTTTGGAGACTGGGAGTGGGAGTGGCGGGGTGGGGAGGAAACATGGGGTTTGGGATACAATGTGCTGTGGGGGCTTAGGCAATGGGAACAGATGAGTGGCAGGGTCTTGAGAAAGTTTGGGGTTTTCCTGGGAAATGAGGGCAGCAGCTAGGGTGGACATGGGATGCTGCTATTTTGGGGGCTCAGGATAGAAAAGAGCCCTCTACCCATTGTGCTGAGGCTGAGAACTGAAGTTATTCTGATGGCTATGATGTGCTTGTCTGAAATTCTTTAACAAGGCCAGTGAATATCTAACAATGTTGACAGCGTGCCTGTTGGAGTAAGTGGTGTGTAAAGTGATTGTAAATCTGATATGATGCCACCTCTGTTAACATTAACATTTTTCCAGTTCTAAATTCATGGGTGATGACTGTGACTCTCTGTATTTTGGCAGGAAATTAAAGTCTATGGCAAAGGGAATCCAATCAAGATTGTGGCAGTGGACTGTGGTATAAAGCACAACATAATCCGCCTTCTTGTGAAGGTATCACTTTCTGTCTGTCAGCCAGCCTCTCGAGCAACAGCACCTTGTACTTGCAATCTAGCTATGGTGTGATAATATTTGGGAAACTCCAGTGTCATTTATAGCAGGATTTAACAAATGTCTTTGATTCCTCTTATAGGACAAAAGTGAGGTTTAAGATTTATCCAGAGCACGTATAAGTCGACCAATGCTCAGACAGTTCCTAGATTCATACAGCGCAGAAAAGTTCCTTTGGCTCATCGAGAATGCACCGATATAACTGACACTAAAGGCGTGCTAATTCCAATTTCCTGCACTTGTCCCATATCTTTGAATCTTATGATATTTAAAGTGCTAATTCAAATACTTTTTAAAGGTTGTAAGGTTTCTGGCCTCCACCACCTTCCTAGGCAGTGCATTCCACATTCCCACTACCTACTGAAGGAAAAAGATTTTTCCCAAATTCCCTCTGAATCTCCTGCCCCTTACCCTAAAACCATGTTCTTTTGTGATTGATACCTCAACCAAAGGGAACAGCTGCTTGTATTTACCCTGTCCATACCCTTTATAATCTTATACACCACAATCGTGTCTTCCTTTAGTCTTCTCTGCTTTAAAGAAAACAATCCAAGCCTATCTAATCTCTCTTTTATAGCTGAATTTCTCCATTCCAGGTAACATCCTCGTGACCTTCCTCTGTACCCCCTCTAGTGCTATCACATCCTTCTTGTAGTGAGGTGACCAGGACTGCGCACAGTATGCCAGCTGTGGCCAAACCAATACTCTGTACAATTCCAATATTACCTCATAAAAACCAAAAGAACTGTGGATACTGTAAATCAGGAACAAAAATAGACATTGTTGGAAAAGCTCAGCCCGTCTGGCAGCATATGTGAGGAAGTCAGAGTTGATGTTTCGGGTCTACAGGCGTTTCCTCACAATTTATAGTAGCTACATGCAGAAGATAGGGAGGAGGAGGGGATAGGGACTAAACGATAGGTGGAGATAGAGCCCAAAGTGGGGGGGGGGAGAGAGAGAGAGAGAGAGCAGTTGGACAGACAAAGGAGCTGATAACGATCTGGCTAGGAGGGTGAAAGGCTATTAATGGAACTGTTAGTGACTAACAATGGGAAGTGTGTAATGGCAGACTGTGATAACGAAGCCTGGTATGTGAGATAGGTGGTTAGGACATGGGAGCGTTTAGGCCCTAAAATTATTGAACTCAATATTGAGTGCAGAGGGTTGCAGGGTTCCCAAGTGGAAAATTATGTGTTGTTTTTCCAACTTATGCTGAGCTTCACTGGAGCACTGCAGCAGCCTGAGACAGATGTGTTGGCCAGGGAACAGAGTTGTCTGTTAAGGTGGCAGGCAACTGGAGGTTCAGGGTCTATTTTGTGAGCAGAATGTAGATGTTCTATGAAGCAGTCACCCAGTCTACGCCTCGTTTCCTCAATGCAGAGGATACCACATTGTGAGCAGCGAATGCAGTAGACTAGATTCTAGGAAGTGCAGGTGAAATGTTGCTTCACCTGGAAGGTATGTTTGGGGAGGGATACTGGGGAGGGAGGAGGTAAATGGGCAGGTTTTACATCTTCAGCGGTTGCAGGGGAAGGTGCCGTGGGGCCGTGGGGCTGTGGGGTGTGTTGGGAGTGAAAGAAGAGTGGAACAGGGTGTCCCGGAGAGCACGGTTCCTGTGGAAGGCAGACAAGGGAGGGGTGAGGAATATGTGTCTGGTGGTGGCATCTCACTGGAGGTGATGGAAATGGTGTCTGATGATCTTCTGGATGTCGATGCTGGTGGGATGACAGGTAAGGACAAGGGAAACCCTATCGCTGTTGCGTGACGGAAGAGATGGGGTGAGGGCGGAAGTGCAGGAGATGGGTCAGCCCTGGTTGAGGGTCCTGTTGACAACGGTGCTGGGGAATTCTCAGTTGAGGAAGAAGATGGACATTTCAGGGGCTGCCTTGTTGAAGTTGGCCACATCTGAACATATGCGATGGAGACGGAGGAATTGAGAGAATAGAATGGAGTCTTTGCAGGAAGCAGGGTGCAAGGATATACAGCCCATGTAGCTGTGGGAGTCAGTGGGTTTATAGTGGATTTAATGGCCAGTCTATCCCCAGAAATGGAAACAGATGTTGAGGAAGGGAGGGGAGGAGTCAGAGATAGACCAGGTGAAAGTGAGGGAAGGATGGAAATTAGAAGCAAAATCGATGAACTTTTCCAATTCCGGATGAGAGAGAGAAGCAGCATCGATGATATCATCGATATATCGGAGACAGAGTTGTGGGTGGGGGCCAGAACAGGACTGGAACAAGGAATGTTGCACGTACTCCATGAAGAGACAGGCATAATTGGGGCCAATGTGGGTATCCATGGCCATGTCTCTGACTTGAAGGAAATGGGAAGAGTTAAAAGATAAGTTGTTGAGGGTGAGGACGAGCTCAGCCAAGCGGAGAACAATGGTGGTGGGTGGCGACGGCTCCGAGCTCATCCTCGTCCTCAACAACTTGTCTTTTAACTCCACTGATTTCCTTCGGGTCAGGGGGGTGGCAATGGCTATCCACATGGGCCACACCTATGCCTGTCTTTTCGTGGGCTACGTGGAACATTGCTTGTTCCAGTCCTATTCCGGATTCCATCCACAGCTGAGATGAATCGATGGTGCTGCTAGCCTCTCTTGTCTGGAATTGGAATAGTTCATTGATTTTGCTTCCAATTTCCACTCTGCCATCACTTTTACCTGGTCCACCTCTGACTCCTCCTTTCCCTTCCTCAACATCTCTATTTCCATTTAGATCGTAGAATCCCTACAGTGTGGAACCAGGCCCTTTGGCCCAACAAGTCCACACAGACCCTAAGAGCATCCCATCCAGACCCATCCCTCTATAACCCACCTAATCTACACATCCCTGAACACTACAGGCAATTTAGCATGGCCAACCCACTTAGCTTGCACATCTTTGGACTGTGGGAAGAAACCGGATCACCCGGAGGAAACCCACACAGACATGGGGAGAACATGCAAACTCCACACAGACAGTCACCTGAGGGTGGAATTGAACCTGGGTCCTGGTGCTGTGAGGCAGCAGTGCTAACCACTGTGCCACCGTGGCGCCCACCGTTTCTGGGGATAGACTGGCTATTAAACGCACTGACTCCCATAGCTACCTGGACTATACATCCTCACACCTTGCTTTCTGTAAAGTCTTACAAAAGATAAAAGGTATATTTGTCTTACAAAAGAGAAGTACAGCACAGGAACAGAACCTTCAGCCCTCCAAGACTATGCCGATCATGCCCTGACGAAACTAAAAAACAAACCTTCTGCCCTTATTTGGTCCATATCCCTCTATTCCTTCCCTATTCATGTAACCGTCCAGATGTCTCTTAAATGTTGTCAATGTGCCTGCTTCCACCACCACCTCAGGCAGTGTATTCTCGGCTCCTCCCACTCTGTGTGAAAAACCTTCCTTGCACATCTCCCTTAAACTTTTGCCCTCTCACCTTGAACCAGTGGCCCCTTGTAATTGAAATATCAACCCTGAGGAAAAAGCCTCTGACTATCCAGCCTATCTATGCCTTTCATAATTTTGTAGACCTCTATCAGGTCCCCTCTCAGCTACCGTCTTTCCAGTGAAAACAATCATAGTCTTTTTAACCTTTCCTCATAGCCTATGCCTTGGAGACCAGGCAGCATCCTGGTGAACCTTTTCTGCACTCTCTCCAAAGCTTCCACGTCCTTCTGGTAATGTGGTGACCAAAACTGTACACAATACTCCAAATGCAGCCTCACAAGGGTTTTATGTAGCTGCAACATGTTTTGCCAACTCTTATATTCCATGCTGCAGCCGATGAAGGCAAGCATGCCATATGCCGTCTTAATCACTTTGGCCACCTATGTTGCCACTTTTAGGGAACTCTGGACCTGCACGCCCAGATCCGTTTGTATGTTAATATTCCTAAAGGTTCTGCCATTAACAGTATAGTTCACACCTAAATTTGATCCTACAAAATGTATCACTTCGTATTTGTCTGGATTGAACTCCATCTGTCATTTCTGTGCTCAAGTTGCCAATCTATCTATATGCTGTTGTATCCTTTCATAGTCATTAGCACTATCAGCAACTCCACCAATCTTCATGTCATCTTACTAATCAAACTTACTAATCAAACCACCCACCTTTTCCTCCAGATCATTTATATATTCTACAAACAACAGAGGATCTCAGACTGATCCCTGTGGAACACAACTAGTTACCGGTCTCCATTCTGGAAAAACACCCTTCCACTGCTACCCTTTGTCTTCTATGACCAAGCCAGTTTTGCATCCATCTAGCCAGCCTACCCCGAATCCCATGTGATTTTAATTTTTATACCAGTCTGTCATGTGGGACTTTATCGAATGCCTTACTAAAGTCCACATAAACTACATCCACAGCTCTTCCCTCATCAATTATCTTTGTCACCTCTTTAAAAAATTCATGAGACATGATCTTCCCCATACAAAACCATGCTACCTGTCAGTAACTAGTCCATTTTTTTCCAAATGTGCATACATCCTGCCCCTCAGTATCTTCTGCAAGAGCTTCCCCACCACAGGTGTCAGACCCACCAGCCTGTAATTTCCTGGATTATCCCTGCTTCCTTTCTTAAACAAGGGAACAACTTTGGCTAATCTCCAGTCCTCTGGAACTTCACCTGTGGTCAAGGAGGATGTGAAAATATCTGCTAATGCCTCAGCTATTTCTCCCCTTGCCTCTCGCAGTAACCTGGGATAGATCCTATCTGGCCCTGGGGACTTGTCTACTTTAATGCAATTTAGGATCCCCAAAACTTTGTCCTTTAATATGGTTACATTCTCTGGAGTATTCACACACTCATTCCTGACCTTAACATCAGTCATATCCTTCTCTTCGGTGGATACCGATACAAAGTACTTACTAAGGATCTCTCCCACTTCCTGTGGCTCCACGCATAACTTCCCTCTTTTGTCCTTGAGGGGGCCTACTCTTTCTCTT